TGATTGAAACACGTTGGATGATTGAAACACGTTGGATGATTTAAACAAGTTGGATGATTTAAACACGTTGGATGATTTACACACGGATGATTTAAACACGGATGATTTAAACACGTTGGATGATTTAAACACGTTGGATGATTGAAACACGATGGATGATTTAAACACGGATGATTTAAACACGTTGGATGATTGAAACACGTTGGATGATTGAAACACGCTGGATGATTTAAACACGCCGGTCTGGTTGAAGTTACTACATTACATCATCACCACTAGAGGCAGAGCTGGACTCTACACCCGAGTGCGTTGGGTTAAATTAAAGCCAGGCATGTCTGTGGGCAGCACGGTGTTAACGCTCGGGTCCATGCACGTGACTCTTAGAGCAGGGGAGCATTTTTCATTACAACACCAGCAGACCCTCAAGGAAAGCGGCCTCACATTATATTAGTTATTTAAACATGTTTACAACTCGGGGTCCAACGACAAGTTATTGCCATGATGATGTCATCACTAGTGGCCTGAGTAGCTCGTGAAGAGTTGCACACATGAGCAGCAGGCTCTGTGACTGTTTAAAACCTTTCTACTGTTTTAGTATCATTATGTAGAATGTGTTCCTACGGTGGAACAGTGGTTAGTGCCGTCGCCTCACAGGAAAGTTGCAGGCCTACCACCCGGCTTGTTTTCCTGGTGCACGTGTGGGCTTTATCTAATAAGACCATAATCATGCATGTTAGGTTTATCATTATTAAATCTAGACAGTGACTAGGTGAGCGTAAACCGTTTTGTCTCTGTGTGTCCTGTGATGGACTTCAACCTGTCCAGGGTGTCCCCTGATGACTGCTGGACAGAGACCAGCGTCCTGTGACTCTGCAGGTAAAGGAAAGGGACGGACAGAGCATCAGCTGTCATGGTTTCTAAGAATCGGCCACTGAAGATCTTAACTGGTCGACTTATAAAACAGCTCAAGGCTTCAAAATAAAACGATCTGAAAATTGATTATATTAAGAAACATTTTCAAACGTTTCCACCTTCGTCCCAAGAAAAGACGGAGCAGACTGAGGTTACAGCTGCAGCTGTTTGAGCTGATAAACAAGCTGTTTTTAATGAAAACTAAAAATAAACAAACCTTTTATCAGTCTCTGAACAGATCGATGCAAGGTGACTCGTATTACTGATCCAGTCTCGCAGCCGGACAAACCACTCCAGACTGAAACACATCCACGAATAAAAATGTGATCATCTCTCATCGACCTCCTCCGGTCTCCAGGTGAGGAGCAGTTCGCATGAGGAGGTCTCAGCAGACCAACTTCCTGTCGTTTGATGATGATGATGATGATGTGTTGGCTGCACCGCAGGGTTTCACGATGCAGACCGTGACCCCAGAAACCCCTGCAGGCCAACAGATCTGGACCCTTAAGGATGTTTGTTCAGGAGGACGTGAGAACGAGGCAGAGTGGATCTCTGCGTGCACGTGAAGTGACTGTGTGCACGTGAAGTGACTTTCTCTACATCCTGTATATTAAAGACTGCTCCAATTCACAACAACACAATCCCCCCCTCCCCTTCTCAGTCCATTCAGATTAGCACATAAAGGCTTTTCAATCGTCCATCAGTGAAGCAGGACCATTTCTTTGTCCCCCCCCCCCCCCCCCCCGTTCCTTTGGCTAACTCTGGCTGAACGATAAACAAACTAGATCTCCTCTGAGCATGGCTGCAGCCACAAGAAACCCATGCAGCTGCACACGAGACCACAGCTGCTGGACTGCTCTCACCAAAGGGGTGGGGTGGGGGTCACCTGCAACGTTCACCTGGGGTTCGACCGCCCGGTCTCTGTCAAAAGCACGATCAGAAACAACTGTCAGACGAAGAGACTGAACTTGTTCTGCAAATGGAGATCTTGTGATGACGTGCAAGAGGAACGTGTTTGTGCAGGTGCAGAGGTGGACTGGACTGAACCCCTTCAACCCTCTGCTCCACCCTGCCAACACCAACACACCCTACCCCTCTGGAAAACAAGTGTCTTCTGAGGACCGGGGCGGGGGCCGCCCCCGTCGGGCCACATGAGGCCGTTGGGCCGCAGCCAGGGGAAGCCGGTAGGAAGGAGCAGGGGGTCCTGCAGCAGGAGGGGGGAGTGGAGGACTTTCAAAAAAGGGCCTCTTTCAGCTGCACCCGGCATCATCATCCAAAAGGTAACCTGAGCCAACCGTCACAAACCCCCACCCTACACCCAGCCCCCCTCCCCCATAATAAAAAAACAAGGCGTTCCCCCTAATACTGGGACTTGGCCTCCTCCCATAGAAAAGAGTGTTTTTGGACTGGTCTGCCTCTGCAGGTGGCTCTGATGTGGTCTGAAGGACTGAAGGCTCTGAATATCCCAAGACTTGTCCTAACACCAACTCTGGGGGAGTCCATCGTTTCCTGCGTTACACGTTCAGGAGCAAACCATCGCCTCTCCTGTTTCCTCCATCACCCTCCCTCCAGTTTTGAACCGACAACTTTCAGACGATCTGTTCCAGCAGCGGGACCAACGATGATAATAAGTAAAGTGCTTTGTGTCGTCATCATTCTATGATTCTATAATAGTGACATCAATTCTCTGCGTTTAACCCATCACACCTGGGATACACCCAGGTGGTGCAGTGGGCAGGGATCAGATGTCTTGCTCAGAGACACCATGACATGTGGGAATCAATCAACCTTTATTTATACAGGTAAATCCCATTGAGCCTCGAGGACTCATTTATGGCTGGGGATTGAACCTGGAGCTTTGGGGTCCCAGGTCGGCTGCCCTACCTCTACCCCATGATCCTCTCAGTAGAACTGGGAGCATCAATTACGTCATCATCACGGTAATATAAATATTATTAAATCATATAGCAGAGTTGATGTGGATCGATGGTGGTGTACAAAGACTGATGTTTAAATCTCAGTTTCTTTGACAGAACTTTTTTTTTTTTTTTCTAGTTTCTGAACACGTCACCTGAAAAAAAAAAGACCTTTGGTGATAATTTTGAGATCTTTGTGTGAAACGTGTTGTTACTCCTTCGTTTCTAAAAATAAAAAAATAAAATAAATAAACCTAACTTATTGTGATAATAAAGTAACTCCTGTGTACATGTAAACTATGTAAAATATCTGAGCTTGTTAATATTGTCCCTGTATTTACTTCGTAGTGATAAAAACAAACTTTGCGGCTGCGTCCACCTCCATCGCTCAGATTGTGTCAAGTTTCTCCAGGACGTCACGTTGAGGTCAGAGAAGAAGCTGCAGGTGAACGTTCGTCCTCCTCTGTCCACTTCAACTATTTTTAGTTTGGATTGTTTCAGGAATGATGCAGGAAGCTTCTTTTTTTTTTGGGGGGGGGGGGGGGGTTGGACGGAGGCCACTGTTATCACAAGGAGCAAAGGAAGGCAAGAGGAAAGAAGGAAGGAGAGAGGGAGACTTCTCTTCCACAAGCTGTTAGTGACAAAGTTTAAAATGTAGAATAATTTATCCGATAACTTGTCTCTGACAGAAGAAGTTTGATAAAAGATAAAAATGTTTTGTGGAATATCCAACAACTGCACAACAACTGATGTTGACGACGACAACAACAAGTCCAGACAAAGAGAACTGTCAGTTTCTAGACTTTCATCAAACTCATTGTAGACGACAACAAACAGAAAGCAAGTTAAACAGCAGAGACAACAGTCTGGTATAACATCTAACAATGACCCCCCCCCCCC